ATTATTATATTATATTATATTATATTGTATTATTATATTATATTATATTATATTATATTATATTATATTTAATTATATTATATTATATTATATTATATCATATTATATTATATTATATTATATTATATTATTATATTATATTATATTATATTGTATTATTATATTATATTATATTATATTATATTATATTATATTATATTATATTTAATTATATTATATTATATTATATTATTATATCATATCATATTATATTATATTATATTATTATATTATATTATATTGTATTATTATATTATATTATATTATATTATATTATATTATATTATATTATATTATATTGAAGTCAATGTTTTTCTAACTTGAAGGCATTGTTGAAGAAATGCTCAGAGATGTAGTTCTTTGTGATTGTGCTGCTCTCCAACGCTGGATAATCAGTCCACACTAAACGAGGACACTAATTAGTGCACTTGTACTCCTAAACTAGTGATCACGTTGTAGGTTGTTGGGTCAGAAACTATTGACTGCGTCTGAATGTAATTATCTTGTTCACTGGAGCAGATTCTTCATCTGCACACACACATCTATACACACATGGATATGAAACACTGTCAAAGTGTGTGTGTGTGTGTGTGTGTGTGTGTGTGTGTGTGTGTGTGTGTGTGTGAGTGAGTGAGAGTGTGAGAGCAAGAGTGTGTGTGAGACTTTTGTGAGTGAGAGAGCAAGAGTGCGTATGTGTGTGTGTGTGTGTGTGTGTGTGCTGACCATTACACTTAGAATAGCAGCAGTCAAAGCCAGAGTTCCCAGCATGCGCTGCTCTGATTCTCCTCTGCGCCAGAGCAAACAGCAGCCGAGCGCAGGAATGAGTCTCTGGCTCTGTCCCAAATCACCTACTAGTCCAGTATGAACTACATTTGACTGTGAGTTTACTAACGGACTGTTAGAAAAGTGTGTTCTATGTAGTGTGAATGTAATTCAGACGTTCTACATCCGCTATTAGTCATGATCAAGTGACCTCCCTGCATCAGTTGTGTCGCTTCACTTAGGTGTCAAAGCCAGTTCCAGGAGGGCCGCTGCTCTGCACAGTTTAGTTCAACCCTGCTCCAACACACTGACCTGTGGGTTTCAAACAAGCAATCTAGTTAATCCCTGCATACTGTTTTTACAATACTTTGAATTTGGACATGCTACTCTACTCGCATACTGTTTGAACTTGCTACATAGTAGGGAAGTGTACGATTTGAGACACAGCCTCCGTTTACATTGAAGAGCAGCTCTCCTGATCTCCAATCTACAACACAATCTGGTATGAGTATGTGTGTGTGTGTGTGTGTGTGTGTGTCCATGTCAGGAGGGTGAGCAGCTGAAGGTGTGTGTATGTTTGTGATGGTTATGAGTTTGTGTGTGTGTGATGTGTGGCCGTTTTCCCAACAGTCAAGCACAAGTGCAGCTCTGTGCGTCTGCAGCGGCTCATAGAGAGCGCAGTGTGTGAGCCGCTCGTGCCTCTTATAATTAATGAAGTTACACACTGAATCGTTGAGTTTTCCTGAGCGCCGCCAGCCAGACCACAGCACCCGTCTATCTGTGTGCACAACTGCAGATTTACAGCGCCTTTCTGCAAACACACTCCTTTACACTAACACACACACACTCTCTGTCTTTGTTTTCCATGCATTGTGGGGACGTTCCATAGGTTACCATTGTTTTTAATCTGTATATTCTATTAACTGGGGTGGCACGGTGGCTTAGTGATTAGCTCTGTCACCTCACAGCAAGAAGGTCGCTGGTTTGAGTCCAATCTGGGTCAGTTGGTGTATCTGTGTGGAGTTTGCATGTTCTCCCCGTGTTGGCGTAATTTCCTCCGGGTGCTCTGGTTTCCCATACAGTCCAAACACATGCGCTATAGGGGAACTGATCAACTAAATTGGCCGTAGTGTATGTGTGAATGAGTGTGTATGGGTGTTTCCCAATACGGGGTTGCATCTGGAAGAGAATCCGCTGCATAAAACATGCTGGAATAGTTGGCGGTTCATTCCACAGTGGTGACCCCTGATGAATAAAGGGACTAAGCTGAAGAATAATGAATAAATGAATTGTATTGACCTGTATATTCTATTGATTGGATAAAAATTTATTGTGTATGATTTATACGCCTTTTAAAAAAGGGTTTGGGGGCTTTTATCATGAAATAAGGACAGATAATCTGAGAATTACCAGCATAACCCCAACTGGAAGGAATAAATTTAATTTAATTACATTTGTTTTTATTTATTAATACTCACTGAGGTCAAATCAACGGAGTTTGAGCATGTTTTTATTATATAAACATATGATATACACATTAATCAACAAAAACCTGTACAAAAATATGTATTAATAAGCAAAAAGATAACTAATATAGCAATTAAATACCCCAAAAAATACACCAAAACTATATAAGTTCTATTTAATATATATATATATTTAAATAAATAAATATATAATCTATAAATAAATATATCTATTACATCTAATATTATTATAAATATTATAAATAAATAATCTGATTTTTGAGGTCTTAAAGCTTTTAAATCATCTTCCTCTTCTCTAAAGCTAGCTAAAATATATGCCTTTTTAAAATGAATGCTCATTATTTATATTATTGCATTTGTTAATACACATTAGAGCAGCAGATTGACTGCAGAATTCAATATATCTGACACGCACACATCTGCTAGTGGCCTTAATCATGTTTAGCAATTAAATCAAGTGCAGTTTGCTTAATAAGAATTGATTTCTGTCTGTCTTTGTGATTTATATAGGACAATCAGATATTCACATTTGAGTCACTGTAACAGTAACGAATGCTCGGCTCAGTCGTGGAGGCCTGGAGTAAAGTTAAATGCATAAATAGTCTGGAAGTTCAGATTCAGACATCTCACTTTTAATAGATTTAGGAAACAGCCGATGGAGGAGGTGAAGCTCGTTCACACCTCATCATGGACACACACATACTAACACACACTATATATGCTAATGAAAGAGACATCAGTCCTTTGTGTCACAAATGAGGCTTACAAACAGCAGCAAACGCCTGCCTGACTTTGACTTAATGTGTGTATTTGATGTATTAAGCCATCAGTTAATGGTCTTTGCTGTTTTTTGCTATTAAGCCATCAATTTATTCAATTAAAGACATCAATTTGCTGTTTAATATTGCAGTGATATATTTTTGTAATATTGCTGTTTTCTAAATGTGTTTAATGTGTAGTGAGTGGCCAGATGTGTGTTATTCAGTGTTAAACACTAACAGTGAGCTGTATATTACTGTGAGTGTTGTGAAATATGAACTGTCCACTTTAAACACAAGCTGCTCAGCCTCTTGTTGATCAAAAACAATGAAGATATATTATATTTATATCTGTCAGAATAGCACAAGATCATCCTGCTTCAATATATGTGACGTCAAACAAGGGTTAGCACAAAAGTAATTTAAATGTAATCCAGAAGTAGTCTAGTGAGTACACATATTGTTATGTGATTTGTATTTATTAACAATTAGTAACATGCCCAGCTCTGGTTAAATCTGCATGTAATATGGTAGTGCACTGTATAACATTCAAATTATTTATTTATTTATGTTTATTATGCATTTATAGCAGTTTGAATATCTGGGACAGCCCAAAAAATCCTTCATGCCTTGGGGGAAAATCCCTTGTGAATGTACAGAGACATTATTTGGCTCTTTGTCTTCCCTTTTTGAAAATTAAAAACATGATTTATTATTTCTAGAAATAATATTGACATGTTGCTGTGTGATGTTTTCCACCTCTGATAAGTTAAAAAAATCTTAATCTTAAGTATTATACTTTCAAATAAACACATCAGAAGCCGGGAGGTCATTTTGGCTGGGATTTGTCCCACCTTGTCAGATTGTCCTGCCATTCAAACAGTGGGTAGCACATTTTCATGACGCAATAGGCTACCCATCCGATTTTGTGTACATTCTACTGAGGGGTGGTGTGATATGAAGCTGTAATATCTCCATAATCCCTAACCCTAACCTCAGAACCATTCAAATGCAGTGTTATAGCATAATCTGATAAAATTTCAAGACACTGGCACGTTGCATTTTCCAAAAATATCCCGGATTTTCATCAGTTTTTTTTGGTATATATATATAAAGGTTACATTAGCATGCAACTATATTAGCAGTTTATGGAGCCATATCGGTCTCAATAATATTACATTTACAAAATATGTGCTCATCACAATTCACAAATAACAATTTGCTAATTTAAAACACTATTCACAAATGCACAAATCCAATTTGTAACTTCCAATTCATAAATGTGTGATGGATTGTGCAAACATTTTAAATGCATTTGGGGAAATATTTCTGCTTTTTTATTGTGAATTTAGGAATTTTGTTTTTAAATGACATAATGGATTTGTGCATTTATGAATTGTTTCAAATTTACGAATCGAATTTTTGTAAACGTGAATTGTATGATTATTATTTTTATAAATGTATTATTATTGAGAGTGATGTTAATCCATAGCAGCTCGCTGTATATGTAAACTACAGTACCCAGAACCAGCGGTGGGGGCCTTCGGCTATCTTCGTGTGTTTCCGCCCACGGGAGCGCGCGCCGCGGAATGTTGCTCTGATTCCAGCGCGGTGGAAAAACTTTCTGAGAGATGGAGCGGTCGCCGAGGCGCTGAGTTCTGCACTTTTATTCGGGATTTTCGCCACGTAAAGGAGGTTTAGTTGGAAAGAAATTAGCTGTTTTCCACTTTTGTGCGGATTTAAACTTTGGAGGCTCGGTTTTTGTAAACTTTCGAAGAGTTTAGTGTCGGAGAGATGCCGCAGCCCGCTCGCGCTGTGAGCTCCGTGCTGCTCCTGCTCCTCCTCAGCGGATTTACAGCCGTTACCGGAGACTCACGCCGAACGGAACATGAGCCGTGTCCGTCGGTGTGCTCGTGTACTGGGAATCTGGCGGACTGTAGCAGATTAAAGGCCGGTCGGACGGTGGAGCGGCTGCCCGCGAGGATCACGCGTCTGTGAGTCTGTCTTTGTGTCTCTCTCGCTGGAACTCCATCAAAACACACACTCCTCAACACACACAGGAGGAAAACACCGCGGATTTAAAGTTTATTATTTTATTTAAAGTGTTTGTATGGAAAACAACTCAAACAAACAAGGCAGAAAGTTTAAATATAAACTTTCCCCCCTCTGTAAAGTGATGTTAGCTCAGTTTGATCGACTTTGTTGTGCAGTTTTCAGTTTAAAGGCCCAGATCATTTAATTTAAGACTTTAAAAAATAAAGACGCTGTAAAAGAATGATTATCCCAAAGTAGATTTTATATTCAGACTTTCTATTTAATAATATAACCTACGAAAAGTATTATTTGCGAATTCTAATTGGTGAAATCATATTAACAGTCAATGAATAACAATGTAAACATGTTCACAGTGAATTAAATAGTGCTGGTGTTGTTTTAAAGTCAGTCCTGCATGCGATTTCAGACCCAATATTGAAAGTCTAGTGATAAACAATATATAGGGAGAGTGTTACTTGTTAAAAAAAATGCACGATTGTGTAAATATAAAACCAACATTTTAAATCAAACTCCTCACACACACACACACACACACACACACACACACACACACACACACACACACTGGAAATTAATATATTGAAACATGCAGATTTAATCATTATTTTTTAAGTGTTTGTATGAAAAAGGAACTGGAATAAGGCGTGAAGTTAAAATATAAAATATTCTCCCTCTGTAAAGTGATGTAAACTCACTGATCGACATTGTTGTGTGTTTTCAGTTTAAAGGCCCAATTCATTTAAAGCATAGCACATTGATTAAAAAATAAAATGGAATCATAGCCATATATTTATTTGAGAAGCCCTGGGTCTTCCAGCCTAAATAAATTAGTTTGTGTATTTTTGGGGGGGATCAACAAGTTTAGTTTTGACTACAAAAAATCATTCTTATCTAATAATGTAGAAATCAAACTCATCTTTTTTTTTGTTCTACAACATCAGAATTCTCCATCAAATGTTAAATAAATAATTTAAAATGTTTTATTTACATAACAGCAAGCTTACATGTCAGATGTGGCACAAAGTGTCTCTAAATGCAGCTCAGAGGTGCATGACTGCATTTACACAGCTGTTATAACCTACATACACTATCACTGCAACTGTAGTGGCTCACTATCAAATTCAGCTCTATGACGTTAATTAATTAATTAAAAAAGGAATCATCCATTACACCATACTTTAAAAATGACATAAGCCATGACAGCTTATGTTTTTACATTACTTTAACTTAATTTAGAAAGTTAATCTGTTTTTTTAGTCAAGTAAACAAAGTTGAACTTGTTTTTAGTCAGCTTAATTGATGCAAGGTAAAATGACCTGGTTAAACGTAATTTAAGTGAGAAGCATATCAGTAAGCTATTATGAGTTGTTGTTCTGTGGGTAGCTGCTTTATTTTGATTTGTTTTATTAATGAAGAACAAACACTGTGATCAATCTGACCTCTGCTTTAGATCGAATTCAGCTGAACTGATTACAAAATGTCTATTAAGCACTTATTAATCTACTTGTTGTTCCTTATTAGCAAGCTTTTAACACATGAGTTCTGTCAATATGTGCTTTATTTTGACGGTTTTATTCATGAGGAACAAACATGCATTCGCTGATCCTGGGTCAGTTGCATGCAAAGCTAGATTTCAGCATGGTTTTTGTTGGGGCTCTTCAGGCTTCCAGGGGTTCAGGAGGGGATGCTAATTTACGAGCAGCTCTGCAGCACATGTTAACGCATTAAACTGGCCCGGCTTTTGTTTTCCCCAGGCCCATTATTTCTGCTGAATTAGCAGCTAAACCCAAGCAGAGATGGAAGCCATTAGGAGCCCATGTGCAGAGAAAAAGAGGGAGGGAGGCCTGGAGCTTTTGGCTGTGAAAGCCTCTCGCTGCCAGAATGGAAAAATAGAAGGAAAAAGCTTTTCATGATTTACATCTGGAAAGAGCTGAGGGTTTTTTTTTCTCTTCGTCTTTTTCCAGAGTTTGAGTTTGAGACGACAGCAGCTGTTTTACTCCACTTTCATAGCTCAGCTCTGAACCCACACCTTTAACTGAGCCAGAGTCACTCTGGAACATTGATCAGTCCCGTTGTACAGTCAAAAATGACCATTGCAATTAGATATCAAGGATATTTCACCCAAAATTAGTATAGTAATGCAACCCCCAATCAGAAAATGTTGGGACGATATGGAAAATAATGGAAATATGGAAATAACAATTGGGACGATATAGAAAATAAACAAATAAACATAAAGATTAGTGATTTCTAAATTTACTTTGGCTTGTATTTGATTGCAGACAGTGCAACATACATTATTAATGTGTTCCTTATGATTTTTATTAGATTTTTTTTTCAAAATAAACACACATGCCAATTTTGGCTCTTGCAACACATTTTAAAAAGTTGTATCAGTAAAGCATTTACTACTTTGTAATGTTGGCGTTCCTTTCACAACACCCAGGCCCTGTTTACACTGTCAGGTCTTGATGCCCAATCCCGATTTGTTGACTATATCTGATTATTTTGCTAGTCTGTTTACACGTTCTTTTAATTCTGACCCATATCTGATTGATGTGTTTACACTTGGCATACTATTTACAATGTCGCATATGCGTAAAGGTGTGTTCTAGCATCTGCGCCACACTAGCCACGATGAAAGAAATTGCTTTCAGCTCTGTTAAATATGTGAAGTTCTCCCAACTTTAAAATGAGTTTGAGGTGGAGGAGGAGGGAAAGGGCTGTCATCGCAGAGGAATCTGTGGGTACGAGAGAGATCTCAGGTCTGGTGGGAGCAGATTGTGGCGACTGACCACTTTCCTCCTTCATGTTTCGTCTGTTGTTGTTGTTGTTTACCGCTTGAGCGTCTCCACACACGCTCTTCCTTCTACATCATTAAACCGTGGAGAAGCACCACATTGTCGCAAGTTTAATGACATACACAACGAATTGCCAAAATAGTCTCAAATACAATCCAAAGTAAATTTTAAACATTTAGAAAATCTCAAATACAAGCCAAAGTAAATTTAGAAATCACTCATTTCTGTTTTTATTTGCGTTTTCCGTATCGTCCCAACATTTTCAGATTTGGGGTTGCATTACTATACTAATTTTGGATGAAATATCCTTGATATCTAATTGCAATGGTCATTTTTGACTACAACTGGACTGATCAATGTTCCAGAGTGACTCTGGCTCAGTTAAAGGTGTGGGTTCAGAGCTGAGCTATGAAGGAGGCCTGAAACCCATCTCTGAATATCTGAATGCTTGCACTTTTTTCGTGTCTACACGGTCATAGAACAGATCCGATCTGCGTCACATATGAGCAAAAAATCTGAATTGGGTCAAATAGCCAGTGTAAATGTTGTTTAGGGACTGGAGACAGCAAGTGATGAAGTGTATCTGGTGTAATTTTGTCCCATTCTTCCTGCTTAAGGTGGGCGACAGTACGGGGTGTTCATTGTCACATTTTGCACTTCCAAATGTTCCACACATTCTTTATTGGAGACAGGTCGGGACTGCAGGCAGGCCAGTCCTGTACCTGTAGGCAGGACTTTGTAATGTGTGCAGAATGTGGTTTTGCATTGTCTTGTTGACATACTTAATCACACATTTCCCAACACTAATTGTTTACAGCCTGTGATAATTTTTTTTCATCTAAAAGCTTCACTGCTTGTGATTAAAAAAAAGAGAAAGTGTAAACAAAATGACTCTCCTGAACCCCAAAATAAGATTTTTCGAAGAATACTTTATTTTAAATCCTGATAATAACTCATTACCTGCCTATTATTAAAATATTGTCTGTTTAGTATTATTTAAAATAATATATACTTATATTCTACATTTTTAATCCTGCTCAATACCTAAACCCAGCGACTGCACTGTAAAATATATAAAAATTAAGTTTTCTGTATTTTATGATTTCATGCTTTTATTTTTTCCCTGTTTAAAGCTGCTTTTTATTGCATTATAAGATCTTGATCTTTATTTTAAAAAACGTTTAACCTCTAGAAAAAAAAGTGACATGTGTAATAGTGTGCAGTGCTGTATTGTGTGTGTTGGTGTTGTTTATTACGCTACAGAAACCTTGTAATAAACTGCAGCACATTTACTGTTATTTTACACACTCATTTCTCTAGATATTATTTATTTTTCAGTATATTATGATTTTAAACCACTAAAATGTCAGTAAAAGTCACTTTTTTAAACTCTAGAGTTGAATTTTCAATATCAAAAGTGGACAGAGCAGAGATCAACATCCCATAATGCAGTTCACCACCGCAAATAAACCCAAAATGCGGAAGTTGTTCGCTAACAGAGTGTATGATGTTTTTAGTTTTACCCTGTGGTGTTTTTGAACAGGCTTTATTTATTTAGAAATGGCTCAGGTTTCCAGCATCAACAGGACTTTATTCACTACCGATTGTGTGAAAGCAACTGTGCAGAAATGATCGAGTTAATCATCATCAATGTTAAATAAACACTCTTGCATCCTTTAAGTGACTCATGAATGTGATACAGTCGAGTGTTAATGAACTGAACAAGAGTCTGAAGCGTTTATCTTATCTGAACCGAGGGGTGTGTGATTGCTCCCTGTTCACACTTCTGTCGCCTGCAGTCAATCCACGACCACAATTCAGCACAAATCGGCATGCGCTGTAGAAAATATCCATAAATGAGCAGATTTATCTATTTTGTGATTCATGTTTTGTTTATTTTTCCACATTTACTTGCTTTTGAATTGCATGATGGGATCTTGATCTTTATTCCAGCAACTTTTAACCTTAAAACATGTGTGTGAAACCTGATTCTTATGAAAACTTTAAAAGTTTATTGTCAGAAATAGTTTTAGTATTTTTATTATGTTCATGTAATTTAGTATTTTTATTAAGTATTTTGTGTAATTTAGTATTTTATTAGCTGCATGTTTATGCATTTTGTTGTATTGTTTTCCCATT